CTGTTAGGTTTGGAGAGCACTTTGACTTAAAGTACAGGGCAGTGGAGTGACCTGGGGAGTAGGCACAGTAAGGAAGGAAGAAGGTACCTGGAGGCAAAGCAAGTAGGGGAGAGGCTGTATTGAGTGGGTCCTAAGGAGGGGCCTCAGCAATCGCGCTCTGGCTAATTTTCTCAGTGTTCCTGTCTGTCTGTGATCTCCCTACCCCCGCCCCCACCTGCAACCCCTTCCTAATGGTGTGGGACTGATGGGTGGGTCCAGTTCTGAAATCCAGAGCTCAGGGTCTCTTCACGTTTGGTTGCCACAGACTTCTGTAGAGTAATAACTGGTATTCTTATGCCTGCCTGGGGTGGCCTGGGGGCCAAGGAAGGGATGTCACTGGTTCAGAACTGTGGGCCTCTCCCACTGTCCACAGCCACCCCCCTGGGGACAGAGTGGGCCCACCATCAGTTCGCTGAGCATCTCCAGGGGCTGCAGTACCTGGAGGGTGGGGTACCAGTTGGGGTTTCCCGAAAGGAGGAGCTTCTGTGGTCACGTGGGTTTCCGCCATGCAGAAGAGCTGATTGATCCCGGCACCACGCTGCTTTGAGGCCTCTGATGGCATCTGGGCCAGAGGAGCCCCTCCACTTCCAACCACAGAGCCTGCTGCTTTTCTTTTACACTTTGTTTTTTTTTGGTGTTTGGATTTACTGGGGTTTGCAGGGTTCGTGCTTGCTAAAGAGGTGCTCTACCACTTGGACCACTCCATCAGCCTTGCTTTTCTTCTAAAAACCCTGTGCTGGGGAATAGTCAGGGTTCCTGGAGTTGATTGGTCCCTATGTTATATATTGTTGTGGTACTGGGATTGGAACCCAGGGCCTCATGCATGCTAGGCAAGCACCATACCACTGAGCTATAACCCTAGCTTGCTGGTGGTGTCCTAAATCCCACACATTCTCTGCCTAGAAGGTCTTTTTTTTTTTTTGAGACAGGATCTTATAGCCCAGGTTGACCTGGAACTCATGATTCTCCTACCCCAGCTTCCCAAGTGTTGGGCTGATAGCGTGACCCACCATGCCCGGCTTGCAGGCAGGGACCTTTTTGAGCAAGTATGAAGGGTGGCATTCCACTGTCCTCCAAGGCCCTGTCCTGGGAAATCACAGTTGTTGCCCACCACAGTTTGGCCCTCCACTCGTCTGCCTTGCCTGTGCACAGTCCTCTGAATCGGCCTGCTGCCTTGTCTTCACACTGGCTTTGGGGTTGGTTTGTAGGGAAGATGGTGAGCTGGAAGAAGGTGAACTGGAAGATGACGGGGCTGAGGAGACACAGGACACCCCCGGAGGGTCAGAGAGGAGCCGGAAAGACAAGGGGGAGAAGCACCACAGCGATTCTGACGAGGAAAAGTCTCACAGGAGGCTGAAGCGGAAGCGGAAGAAAGAGCGGGAGAAGGAGAAGAGGCGATCAAAGAAGAGGAGGAAGTCCAAGCACAAGGTAGGTCCCAGAGGGCTTGCTGCACTGCCAGGGCTGCCTGTTGCCCAAGGGCACTCATAGTCATCTTGTCTTTTCCTGCCCCCAAGGGGATCAGGACTTTAAAGGAGTTAGTAGCTCATGCTCCATTGCCACCAAGTGCCCGTAGGTGAGGTGTTACAAGAGGAGCGCAGAGCCTGTCCAGCATGTCCCAGCACTGCCCACCCTGGGGCTGACTGTGCCAGGGTGACCTGCCTGCAGCAACATCACTCACTCCACTTCCCCCATCATTGCAGCGCCACGCTTCTTCCAGTGATGACTTCTCCGACTTCTCAGATGACTCGGATTTCAGCCCCAGTGAGAAGGGGCACCGCAAGTACCGGGAATACAGCCCCCCATACGCACCGGTGAGTGGCTGCAGGGACCCGCAGGGCATTCTTGCTTGCACTTTATCTGGATCTCACACCAGGTACGATCCCCATTTTACTGGTGAGTTAGGACATTTGGGTTGGAGTCCAGGCAGTGGCTGATCTCCATAAAGTTTTGCTCTCAACCTTCTTGGTACCTCGTCTCTCCTTGTGGCCTCAGCAGGACTCTATATGTGTCACAGGTCCAGGTCACAGCTGACTGCTTTCTACCGCTCATAAGTGACCTTTTGTGGGAAATTGGCAAGAGAATAAATGACCAAGAAAGTAAATTATCTCAAGGATTGAGCAGTTAGAAGTTAAGTACCTCATTACGTCTCTGGGCTGAAGCATAAATTGAAGTTATTTGTTCAGTTTGTGAATGTTTTTTTCCCCAGAAAAACTCGTAAGAAAAAAGATCAAGTTGGGTTTTCAGATTCTGATAAATGTTGAGGGCTGGAGTGACTCAGGTGACAAAGAACCTACCTAACAAGTGTTGTGAGGCCTGTGTTCAATTCCGTATGTCACCAACAAAGAAAAGAAAACGTTGAAAAGTTAAAAGTGCTTTTTCTTGATGTTTTGTTGGTTTTTTTTGAGGCAGAGTCTGCCTGTGTAGTCCAGTTGGCCTTAAACTCAGGATCCTCCTGCCTTAACTTCCTGAGTGCTGGAATTGTAGGCATGTGCTGCTTTAGTTCCCACTTCAGTGGCACTTTTTAAAGCTGGAGAGACAGTTCCATCCTGTGACTCAGCATCGTCCAGTCACTGTGGATGACTGATGAATGTAGTTGAGACTGACGTACTGCTGCAGGTTCAGACTTCCAACCTAAGGGAGGCCGGGAGTACACAGTGCTGCACTGCTTTGATTGTGAGCAAGAGCTTGAGCTGTTTAACATCTGCTAAAGCGCTTACCTGTGTGTCTGTATATCTGTATGCTTAGCCTGCTTTCTTTTTTTTTACATTAAGAGACTATTTTTTAGAGCATTTTAGGTTTACAGAACAGTCTTCTCCTACCTCTCCCTTTGTTAGTATGTTGCATTAGTGCAGTTGATTGTTGCAGTTCCTGAGGCCTGTCCATGGTTAGTTTCCATTAGTGTCCTTCATCTACAGCACATCTTTGAGTATCAGGCAGAAACATCGCACTGCCCTAAAACCTCAGTGCTCCCTCCATTCCTTCCCCAGCAGCTGTCATCATTTTATAGTCCCAGTTTGCAGTTCTGCCTCTTTCAGGATATAATAGTTGGAATCACCCCCTCCATCATTCTCCTTTATCCCCCCCACTTCTTCAGTATTTTTCAGATAGGGTCTCTTATTTTTGCCTTGGGCTGATCTCAGACCTCCATTCCCACCTACAGCCTCCCAAGTAGTTGGGATCTCTTGCATGTGCCACCACACCAGGCTTATTTATTGAGATGGGGGTCTCACTAAATTTTGCTCGTGTTGGCCTTGAACTTCAGTCTTCCTGACTTCTGTCTTCTGTGTGGCTGGGATTCGTTTTTTGTTTTGTTTTGTTTTGTTTTGTTTTGCTTGGTGGTACTGGGGCTCTAATGCTGGGCCTCATGCTTGCTAAGCAGGCTCTCTTACCACTTGAGGCACTTCGCTAGCCCCTTTTTGTATTGGGTGTTTTTGAGATAAGTCTCACTTTTCTTGGCTGGGCTGCTTTGAACTGAGATTCTGTGATCCTCCTGATTTTTGCCTCCCAATTGTCTAGGATTGCAGGTATGAGTGAGCCTTTTGCATGGCTCAACGTTTCATTTCTTTCCATTGTGAACTGTGGCTCAACTGTTTGAATAGACCACAGCTAGTATGTCTGGTCTTCTGTTGGAGGACATCTTGGTTGCATCATATATGTGTATTTTTTCCTTCTTCTCATGTTACTTGGTGCTAGTGCACCATGGAAAGCATCGTGGGAAACAGTTGTCTAGCATGGCTGCCGAGCAGGTCATTCGTTGCATTCCAAGGCCCTAGGAAAGCTTCGACTGGAGGACCATGCCTCCTGCCTACAGGCCCCTTCCAAAACCTGTCACTCTGCATCATGGGAGATGCCACTCATCTTGCCCTTTGTTCATCAGGGATTGTGACAGTAGTGTTTCTCAGTTTCCTTTTAGGCTGTGGGCCTTTCAGAAGGACAAACATGTAGGTCCACTGCTCCCCCAGCCTGCCAGAGTGGTCCTCAGAGTGGCCATCAGATTAGGGAACCATAGGGACCTTTGTGGTCCTGACCCCAGGCCATAGGGGCTGACTCATCCTCTCCAATCTCCTGATGCCCAGTCCCACCAGCAGTACCCCTCATCGCACAGCGCGCCCCTGCCCAAGAAGTCATACTCCAAGATGGACAGCAAAGCCTACAGCAATTACAAGATATGAGAACCGAGCATATGGAATATGAGGCGTACAGAGAGAGACATGGCAAGAGGACTACGATTGACCTCACCAAGAGCTCAATCCAGTACCGTCTGACCAAGAGAGGCAGCAGCCGGCCGAGGTACCCAGCAGCTCTCTTGGGGCTAGAGTGCCTGCTGCTAGGCCTGCTGCCTGGCATAACCAGGCAGACCACAGTGGCTGGCCCAGCCCTCACAGGCCTCACATCCTGGAGAGACAGGAAGTCAATTAGGGATGGGCCAAGTGTACACGAGCTGCACCTTCAGCATAGGGCTAGTAGGAAGAGGATCTCCAGCTAGCCATAGTTGGGTTGGCTCCAGGCTGGGAGGAGGCAGGGACAGAGCCAGTGCAGTGGAAGGAGGGGCTTTTAAAATTCACTTCCTGGTCAGCTGTGGGGGGGTGAGAAAAGGTAAGACTTCTTTTCTGCCTGAGTAGGGACAACTGACTGTCCTAACACTCCCAATTCCTGTTCATCTTGAAAGTTGACTACTGCCACCTATAACCTTGAAACCTGTGGACTCTGGTCTGAGCCTAGGAAGAATGTGAGAAGAGGGCCATACCAGTGAACATACACTCATCTTATCTAAAACTGCTCCTGTCGAAAACCACCCAGCCCTGAATGCTTCTGAAATCTTCCAGCTCAGGTTCTTAGACTTGTGACCCCTGCCTGAGGCCTAGCTGATTGGTAGACTGACACTTCATGTGTTTTTTTCTTAGACACTTCCTGGGGCATGCTTGCTTTGGGGAGAGTTTAGACCAGTGAGATTCAGGGGAATGGAAGGCAAACTACTGTGCAGTGACATGTGTTCTAGTAGCCACTTTAACAAGGTGATAGGAAGCAGTGACTTTGCAGTCATTTTATCACTCAGCACATTCAGAGTCTTATTTCAACTTGAAGTCAGAATAGACAGGTGAGGTATTTAAGTCTTTGAAATTCAGTGTGTGTTCTGTACTCAGCATCTCTGTCAGGTGCCCATTAGCCATGTGTGACTGGTGGCTGCTGAATTGGGCATGGCAGCCCTGAGTGGACAGGTTACTGTGAAGCCAGAATCCTGAGTGCTGGAGGAATCCTGTGTCCAGAAAGTTGAAAGACCTCATTGGGTGGTGGTCAGTCTGCTTGGAGCAGCTGGGAAGGTAGATGAGCAGGTGGAAGATAGAGTGATTGGAGGAGGGGCAGCAGACAGCTCCCTTCCTCATTGGCAGTGGAGTCCATGGCTGACTGGGGCTCACTGTACCAATCTCCCTGCAGGCAGCCGAGGGCGTGGACGGGGTTACAGGGGCCGAGGAAGCCGTGGAGGATCTCGAGGCCGAGGCATGGGCAGGGGCAGCCGAGGCCGGGGCAGAGGCTCCATGGGAGGAGACCATCCGGAGGACGAGGAGGACTTCTATGAGGAGGAGATGGAAGTAAGGTTTTGTGCAGCCCCAGGGGGACAGGAGTGCAGCTGGTGGGCTCCTAGGGCTGCAGGCAATACAGGGGAGGCCTGTGCAACTGAGGACACGTGGGTGTCCTGAAGGAGAGGAGGCTTTGATTGGAAGGATTATGTGTTTAAAAGGTTCCTTTTGGAGTAGAGAAAACCTTCATGTAGTTTGAAATAGAAAAGATCTGATGGTAGACTACACCAAAATCCTGTCCTTCGAGACAAGTTTACCAAATGTCCTTTAGAGCTGTACATTCTTCTATATGCCCCCATGGAGTAGTGCATACCTATACACTCTGCTCGGTTCCTGCCCTCCAAGGTCACTGTCCTGTGACCTTTCCATGCCTTTGCACGCTGAGCCTCAAGTTCTTCAGAGTTGCACCTGTGGCCCTTGTGCTAGGCCAGATCTGCCAAGTGGGGCTGAGGGGATTAGAGCCACCCACCAGTCTGGCCACCATGGTTGCCCACCTGCCCCCCAGAAGGAGGCAAAGTGTGTGGTTCCCTCTGTGACACCGCCTGCCCTCTCTCTGGACCTCTAGTATGGAGAAGGTGAGGAGCCAATGGGTGATGACGATTATGATGACTACTCCAAGGAGCTGAACCAGTACCGCCGCTCTAAGGATAGCCGAGGCCGAGGTGAGGAGAGCCTCACAGGTGACATGCTGGCCAGGGCTGCTGGCAGCTGTGGGCTCAGGTCCCAGGAAGAGTAGTCACACTCTCTCCCCTCTGTAGGGTTAAGTCGGGGCCGTGGCCGGGGTTCCCGAGGCCGAGGGAAAGGGATGGGCCGCGGCCGGGGTCGAGGTGGCAGCCGAGGAGGGATGAACAAGGGCGGAATGAACGATGACGACGACTTCTACGACGATGACATGGGCGTGAGTTGACTTCTTTCTCATCTGCTGGTTTTGGCCAAGGCTGCTTGTTCTGGGGCTTGAGCTCAGGACTTACACCTTGAGCCATGCCACCACCAGCCCTTTTTTGTGGTGGGTTTTTTCGAGATAGGGTCTCAGGCACTATTTGCCCAGGCTGGCTTCGAACCGTGATTCTTCTGATCTCTGCCTCTGAGCAGCTAGGATTATAGGCATGCCCCCTGTGCACCCCTCCCCTCCGCGCCCCCTTAATGAGCCATTCTGTGAGACCAAACCTGTCCCCTGCTCTTGTCAGCCCTTCCCCTAGGGACTGGTCAGCATTGATGGTCTCTCCTGGGGAGGGTGCAACTGGTGCAACCCTCTGTCACAGCTACCTCAGTGTGTCTCAGGTTCAGAAGGTTCTAGATAAGGCATACAGGTAGACGGGGAGGGTTTTACAGGGAGGCCTTGATATCTCCTGTAGGGGTGGGCATGTCCCTGCACAGGTACATGGCACTCAAGACCTGGTATCACAGCACCCAGCTTTGAGCCGCAGGGCTCGGAGCTGCACTCGGGCGGGCAACATGGAGAGGAGCTGCTTGCCTGCCCAGGGAATCTCTGCTCATCTCTTTTTTGTTTTGTTTTTTCGGTACTGGGGTTTGAACTCAGAGCCTACTCCTTGAGCCATGCCACCAGCCCATTTTTATGATGGGTTTTTTTTGAGATTGGGTCTCTCAAACTATTTGCGTGGGCTGGCTTCGAATCCATTCTCCTGGTCTCTGTCTTGTCAGTAGCTAGGATTACAGGTGTGAGCCAGCAGAGCCCAGCTTCTCCTGCCCTTCTTATTCCGTTTCCCTCATCATCTCATGCCTTCCAGGACGGCGGTGGGAGCTACCGGAGAAGTGACCACGACAAGCCCCACCAGCAGTCTGACAAGAAAGGCAAAGTCATCTGCAAGTACTTCGTGGAAGGGCGGTGCACTTGGGTACGGAGCTGGCAGATGCCATGGCCTTTGCTGTGAGGGACACTTGGATAGCCCGAAAGACCCAGCTTGCTTTTCAGGGTCAGGAGGATCCAGGATAGTTTTGGTTTTATGGGGTTTTTTGGAGCCCACGTTTTCATCCAATCCATAAAGCCTCAAATACATTTCTACAGGCTCATTCTAATACAAAGGTGATCTGGGTTGAATTTGAGGATTGGAGAAAGAAAGGGGGTCAGAGGAACCTGTCCTTCAGCGCACAGCTCAGGGCCAGGAGACAGGTGTTCTTGCTGGAAGCAGGTGTAGCCAGTGCCCAGGTAGCACACGTGTGGCCAGGGAACCATGTTCCCATGTATCTATCTTGGGAAGAAACATATTCCCACCAAGGCGTTAGTGCAGAATATTCCTTATTAGAGCCAACAGTTCATTTTCTTCCTAGAAACTTGAGGTAAAATTCTGCAAAGAAACATAAGTAGCCATTCCCAAGGCAAAGGGCGGCAGATAGAATGGGTGACAATTGGTGGCTCCTGTGTAGAGTCATGAAGAACACACACCCTGCTTCCACCTAGGGGTCTGTTTGTATCATTTTTGAGGACAAGTAAAGGCAAACCTGACTTGGAGGCTCAGATGGGGAGGGTCAGCACTTCACTGCTGGGGCTGGGGTTCCTTCCAGTCTTCGTTTTTCAGCACGTGGTGTCTTGTCTTCATGTTTACACAGTGCTGCTGTGCTTCTAAGTGTCACAAGGCTAGAGGAAGAAAACGGGTATTTGTTTCCTTTTATCAGGAATCGGTCCCCTTGGGAACTTTGCCTGCATCTCACTCACTAGACAGCAGGGGCTGGGAAATAGAGTGTTTGAGCCCGCACACTCTTCCTCAAGCAAAGCTAGGGTCTTGTTAGGACACGTGGGACTGGGTCACAGGTGGGTGACAAGCCCTAGATGGCCAGCCAGCAGCTGATGAGAGGGGAGGAGGAAGCAGCAAAGGCGTGTTTGTGAGGGAGGACAGGTCTTGGGGCTGGTGCTGCTGTGCGAGGCCTCTGAGACGGCTTGTGAGCCTGCCCTTCCTGAGGACTACTCACCCAGAGGATCTCTTGGTGTTGTCGGCCTCTGTGCACTCACAGTGACAGTGCAGTGCCACTATCTTATCTTTCCTGTGATTCTCTTCCAGGGAGACCACTGTAATTTCAGCCATGACATTGAACTGCCAAAGAAACGCGAGCTGTGCAAGTTTTACATCACTGGTTTCTGCGCCAGGGCCGAGAACTGCCCGTACATGCACGATATCCTTTGCTGCCCCCCACCATCCACTCCTGTGGAGTACAGCTGACCTCCCCATGCCCCAGCTCCCAGGTCCATGGCTTTCTGTGTGTGTCTATCTCATTAACCCTCGTTTCTGTCCCCATTCTGCAGATGAGTAGGCTAAGACACATCTGCCTTATGTTCTGTCTCCAGTACACTCCCAAGACTGGCCCATACCAGAGCCTGTCTTTTGTGATTTCTCCCCCTGACTTTATAACCTTGGGCAAGTCACTAAACTCCCCTTCTTCCCTTGAGGATCTGAGGGCTCAGCTCCATTGCCAGCTTGGTGGGCCAGAAATGGTTCTGGAATAAAAATCTTACCTTGGGCCTGTTGCCAACCTGCTGTGCAACCCTGAACAAGTCGCTTCACCTCTCTGTTCTTCAGTTTCCTCTTATCTGAAACAAAGGGGGTTGGTGTCTGTCCTGGGGTAGTTTCCATGAACTGAAGCATTTGCCTTAATTTGTCATGAACGTGACTTTCCGTGTAAGTTATACCACACAACTGGGAACTGCATCAATGGTGATGACTGCATGTTCTCCCATGACCCTCTAACAGAAGAGACCAGAGAGCTTCTGGACAAGGTAGTGTTAGGGCAGCATGGGGCCATGGAGGACAGGAACTGGGAAGTGCACCTCCCTTGACATGGCCACAGCTCACCTGTCTGGCCAGTGCAAAGCCAGAGTTGGTGGCTGTGTTCTTTCTCACGGGGGAATTGGGTTATATGGGTATGTCGTCTGTGGCCAGGGCCAGCTGACTACCACAGTGTTGCCTAGGGTGTCTGCCTCCACACCTCAGGTGTCTCTGGGCATTAAAGAGGCAGTGGAGCTGCCGAGTGTTTTCTGAAGCTCTTAGGCTCAGGGAGAGGAGGAGGGGAGGCAGGGTGGGCCCACAAGCCAGGTGACCCTTGACTGCCATCCTGGTGTCTCGTTCTCTCTGAGGAATGTGTCCGTGCTTTCCTGGCACTTGACACATGCAGGGAGGAGAGTGAGGGAGAGGATCCTTTTAGCTCTGGGAGGCTGGAGGAGATGGGCTGGATTTGAGAGTAGGAAGGCCGGGGTCCATCAGTCCCGCCAGCCAGCTTCCTGTTAGCTGGTGACGGGGCCACTGGGGAAGCCGTGCCCTGCACAAGCAGGAGTGCCCATTGCTCACTGGTGAGGGTCCACAGGAAGGTTCTCACTTTTGCCATTCTGGGTGTAGGGGGGGAGCCCTTCGTATTTGAAGGACCAGGCCATGTGTGGTCCAGGGCTGCCCCCTGCTGGAGGACACTGCCCAGCACATTACTTCATTTCTCTCTCTCTCTCTCTCTCTCTCTCTCTCTCTCTCTCTTTTTTTTTTTAATTCATTTATTCACAGGTGTGTACATTGTTTGGATCATTTCTCCCCCTTCCCCCACCCTCTCCCTTTTTTTTTTTTAATCTTATTTTTTTAAGGCAGGGTCTCACTGTGTGGCCCAGCTGGACCCCAATTATCCTGGTCTAGCCTCTCGAGTGCTAGGTTTACAGGCATATGCTTGAATTTACTCAGTGTTTCTGTTAGCTGTATTTTTGTTCCCTATCCGTTTTTTTTTTCAAAAACAAAAAAGAAACAACATTGATTTAAACTATGTATCTTAACTAATCTAAAGTACCATTTTTACAAGTAGTAAATAATGGAAAATGATTTTTGTTTTACTTATATCCTATAGTTCATTTTAGTTGGAACAATTCCATTTCTTTTTGTTGTTGTTGCTGTTTTTGTTTTCTGAGGCAGGTCTCACTGTGTAGCCCAGACTGGCCTCAACCTTTGATCCTCATGCCTCAGCCTCACAAGTGCTGGGATTACAGGTGGTGCAAGCACATCCCATACTGATCATCCCCATTGTGTTAAGACAGCACTGCTCTAGACACCCTAACTGGAAACCGAAGTGGCATGTTTTAGCTTCTGTCCACAAACTTTTTATGATGTCAGGATCATCCCCAAGCCAAAGTCAAGAGCTTAGTAAAAATGAGTGACAAACCACGAAGAGCCCTATCAGAGTAGAATTGCAATGGTCAGAAAGTCACATGTGCAGTATCTCTATTGGAAGGCCCTAGATGAACCCTGAGGAAAACCTGGGATCGGCTGTCATCACATACCTGGGCCAGTTGTTCAGTAATCAGCCAGTGCTGGGCCATGGGTACACACTGCTGCCATTCAGGCCTCAGCTCCAGCCATATTTTCCTGAAATGTCTCTGCTCTTTAACCATACTGCACTCCCTCTCAAGCTCATTTTCCCACTTTTGTTTATTTTGGTGGTACTGGAGTTTGAGTTCAAAGCTTAAAGCTTGCCAGACAGGTGCTGTCACTTGAGCCACATATTCCAACTTCTTGTTGACACTTCTCTCTGTTGAGAAGCATAAGTTTCCAGCCATCCAGTCCAAATTTGGAAGCTTGCTTACACCTAGACCCATCTGTAGCAGCATTCATCCTGTGTGTGCTCCCAGGTGCCCTTGTTTTTGTGCACATGGTGTGTATTCGTGACCACGAGAGCAGAGCCCGTGCCTCGTACGCATGGGTTTTTACAATTCGGTTAGTGGTTTTTTTTTTTTCTTTTTTTGCAGTACTGGGGTTTGAACTCAGGGCCTACACCTTGAGCCACTCCACTAGCATTGGGTTTTTTTGAGATAGGGTCTTGAGAACTGTTTACCCAGGGCTGGCTTTGAACCGTGACCTTCCTGATCTCTAACTCCTGAGTAGCTGGGATTACAGGCGTGAGCCACTGGCATCCAGCGGCACAGTCAAGTTTTTTTTTTTTTTTCTTTTTTCATTTTTCTTTTATTATTCATATGTGCATACAAGGCTTGATTCATTTCTCCCCCCTGCCCCCACCCCCTCCCTTACCACCCACTCCGCCCCCTCCCTCTCCCCCCACTCAATACCCAGCAGAAACTATTTTGCCCTTATTTCTAATTTTGTTGTAGAGAGAGTATAAGGAATAATAGGAAGGAACAAGGGTTTTTGCTGGTTGAGATAAGGATAGCTATACAGGGAGTTGACTCACATTGATTTCCTGTGCGTGGGTGTTACCACAGTCAGGTTTTTTCAAGTCTGATAAACTGTGTTTCGTTCTGCAGTTCTGTGGGTTTATGTAGTCATGTCACCACTGCACAGTCTAGACACAGGAAGTTTATCCATTATCCTGAAAGTCCTGTCTACCCTCCTCTGTAAAAGGCCCCCCGGTACCAGCCTCTGGCCACCACTGATGTTTTCTGTCCCTATAGTTTTGCCGTTTCAAGAATGTCACATGGTCTGTGGTGTAGCTTTGTGGTAGAGTATGTTCCTCCTGCACGAGGCCCTGGGTTGGCCCTCCAGCAGCACAGTTGGTGGGGGTGTGCAGCATAACTAGAAGTGTTCAGTGGAGAAGGTAGGGCAGCTTCTTGCGCTCAGTCTCAGTTTGAGTCTGTGCAGTTCTTGCTGTTGGATGTTGAGTCATACTTCGTCATGTGGTGGCTGTCTGGTCGTTAGCTGAAGGACATTGGAGCTGTTTCCCATTTGGGACAGAAGCTTAGAACTTGTGGCCGATGCCTTGCTCATCGGTGGGCTACTAAAGCTTGCTTGGTCCACATGGCTGCATTTGTGCGGGTGTGACCAGTCACTTTTGCTTCAACTTTGACTTTTGGAACCCACTGGGGAGCTGGTTGTTGTGTCCAGTGAGCTGTGCCTGAGAGCACTGGTCCTGCCAGCAGAGAGGCCAGGACAGGGCTGCAGCAAGCGTCTAGGGACAAAAATGCCCCTCCATGGTGTCTGCCACAAGGGTAATTTGGGTTCTTCCCTGCCAGTTACTTTCTCATTTGTATTTTACACATCCTTGTCCTGGGCTCAGATATGATGGGGGGAAGGTGGTAGACAGTGGGAAAAAGATAGTCACAGGGAGCTGTCTGTATTTTGACCAGCAACTTCAGGATGTCTCTGGGTTGTGTAGAGCAAGGGCAGCTGCTTTGGGACTGAATCCTGAAAGGCAGAAAGGTGTTCTTGTCCATCCTATGAGCATGGGAGGCAGTGATGGGTTGCAGACCTGGCTGGGGGCTCCTGTGCTGCAGGCTGTGGGCAGGCGGGCACCATGCTCCCCTGCCCCAGTGGCTGTCTTAGCTCCCAGAACAGCTAGTGTGATGGAGAAGGGGGTGTGGACTGGGTTTTCATGTATCCTCAGTGGTACGAAAAAGTTCTGTGACTTCAAAAGGGCAAACCTTGTCTGAGACTATGGAGGTGTGGCAGGGCCAGGGACAGGAGGTAGGTATGGGACTGCTGTTTGGGATGAGACTAGGAATGAGAGCAGGTACCAGGTGTGGCAGGAGGAGGCACTAGTGTTGCAAAGAGAGAATGGGGCCGTGGTGGTGGAAGCCCATCAGGTCAGCCTGGAGAGGAAAGAGGCAGAGCAGGAGGAGGTACAGAGGCTGAGGTCAAGGTTGTTCCTGTCTAGTGAGGTATAACCTTGTTCACTTTGCCTTTCACTGGAAGGCACTGAAGCTGCTGTGAAAGCAGTTAGTAGTGCAGGAGCGCAGCCATGTGTGTGACCTGAAGTTTGCACTGCCACCGTGCAGAGGATGGTGTGAGGACTCAAAGGAACATAATCAGGCCTGCTCTGTTCCCTTTTGCGCAGGGTTCTAGTGGATGAGACTCTGGCCAAATCCACACTTGGGCATCTACAGGGAAGGGAGGTCACCAGCAGTACAGGAAGCTGCAGTGAGGTCATTGGTGATAGGAGACAGAGACAGGTGCTCTACAGGGACATGTAACAAGAGAATCTACCAAGTGCGTGTCAGGGAAGAGTAGAAGCTGGGGCCTGTTGCTGCAGGGAGGCCTTGTCTATCTTTGGACCTGGTCAGGTGGGGTATGGAAGGAAGCGAGGCCAGCAGGAAGCTGCTCAGTTCTCCTAGATGTCAGCCCCACTCTAGCCCCGAGAGTCACCGTCAGGATTTTCATGTCGGACAGATTGAGAGGCCCTCAACCAAACAGGGCAGTGGAATATCATTTAACAATGAAAAAAAACGGGCTCAGCAGTAGAGCCCTTGCCTAGCGAGGCATGAGGCCCTGGGTTCCCTCTGTCTAGAAAGAGGAAGGTACCGAGAGCTGAGTAGTGTAGAGCTCTGCTAAGTAAAAGAAGATTATCATGAAAGGCCACAGGGGCTGGGGATTTAGCTCAGCGGAAGAGCACTTGTCTGGCAAGTGCAAGGCCCTGAGTTTGGTCCCCAGCACCAAAATAAAAAAGTAAAAATGAAAGGTCACAGTGTTCAGTCCCATTTCTGTGAGACATCCAGAATATCCGGGTCTAGAGACACTGAGTACACTTGTGGTCCCCTTGGGCTCAGGCAGCAAGGTGGAAAGGGACTTCTTAATGGGCTAGGGTCTCTTTGGGGAGATGAAAATGTCCCAGAACCAAGTGGAAGTGTAGTTACCCCACATGTGAACATGCCAAATGCCACTGACCACCAACTGGTGAAAACCATGTACATTGTGTCACAGGGCAGAACCTCTGCCAACTGGGTTCAAGAGTGGCTGCACAGAGGTGTCTGATATCAGCCCATGCCGTAAGGGCTTCAGCACTGACACTGGAGGAGCCCATTCCATCCTGGCTTCCTTCTGGCTGATGCTCCCCATCCTTTGTCACCTGCAGATGTTAGCCGATGATGCAGAGGCAGGCGCCGAGGATGAAAAGGAAGTAGAGGAGCTGAAGAAGCAGGGCATCAACCCCCTGCCCAAGCCACCCCCCGGCGTGGGCCTCCTGCCCACACCCCCGCGGCCTCCTGGCCCCCCAGCCCCCACCTCTCCCAACGGCCGGCCCATGCAGGGGGGTCCCCCACCTCCCCCGCCACCTCCTCCTCCGCCCCCTGGGCCCCCCCAGATGCCCATGCCAGTGCACGAGCCACTGTCACCACAGCAGCAGCTGCAGCAGGACATGTACAACAAGAAGATCCCCTCCTTGTTTGAGATTGTGGTGCGGCCCACGGGACAGCTGGCTGAGAAGCTGGGTGTAAGGTGAGGGCCTGTCGGATCCTCCATCTGGGGCTGTGGCCTTGGGCTTGGAGCACTGCATCTCCCCTGGGTGGGAGCTGCAGCTTCCTCAGCAGCTTCTTCACAGGTGCCATTTCCTCCTCTAGGTTCCCAGGACCTGGTGGACCCATGGGTCCTGGGCCCAACATGGGACCCCCAGGGCCCATGGGAGGCCCCATGCACCCTGATATGCACCCAGACATGCACCCGGACATGCACCCTGACATGCACCCCGACATGCATCCCGACATGCACCCCGACATGCCAATAGGCCCTGGCATGAACCCTGGCCCACCCATGGGTCCTGGCGGCCCCCCGATGATGCCCTATGGCCCTGGAGACTCCCCACACTCTGGAATGATGCCCCCCATCCCGCCAGCCCAGAACTTCTATGAAAACTTCTACCCACAGCAGGAGGGCATGGAAATGGAGCCAGGACTCCTTGGGGACACAGGTAAGCAGGCTTTGAGTGGGCTGCCTGGACATGGGCTCAGGAGTAGGAGTGGGGCAGGAAGCTGTGAGCTAATTTTGTGTGGCAGAGTCTCTGACAGCAGGCCTCTAGCTCCCATCTCTGTCCCTCCTCGTGGCTCAGTGCTCTCGAGCTCAGACCTAGTTGAGAGCAGAAGGATTATTATGTTTGTTGTCAATGTAGCTTGTTTAATTTTTCAAAAATCTTGCTTAGTGTGTTTGGAATTGGGAGGGCGGCCCTGTCAGAAGTAAGCCACATGCCCTGGACAAAATCCCTCTTTGCAGACAGTTTTGGGCTTGTAGCTGCCAGGGCACATCCCTGTAACTGGCCACTTTCCTTCCCCCTTTCCTCCCATGTGTATTGGTAACTGAAAGTGTCTGGCAGTCAGCGGGCTAGGCAATGCACATGGCTGTGGCTGTAGCTGCGGTACGCAGCCTCAGGAAGGAGAAGACTTGCTCCCTGCCTGGCCGCAGTCCTCACCTACCTGCACTGTAGTGGTGGGACACAGAGAGCAAACTTGTAAATGAGAGAATCATCTCATCTCAGCATTGGCCATTGTTAGAAGATACCATGGGATAGCATGGAGTGGAGGGATGGGCACAGGGGAGAGGGTTCTCAGAGGTGAGATGAGGTTGATCTGGTGTGGAGGAGGCCTCAGCCAGCCTCCTTGTGTGAGGAGAGCAGAGGCGCCCATGTGTCTGCAGAGGAAGGAGGAGAGGGAGAGTTGCAGTGCTCACAAAGCCTGGCAACCCCAGTGCTGTGCAGAGTGGAGGGTAAAGCAGGGTGGTGGAGGGATTGGGGGTGCTCCACATTGCCTGCCCAATGGAGTTGTGCACTGTGGAAATGAGCAGGTGGAGACAAGAGTACAGTGTCAGCCAGGTGCCAGTGGCTCACACCTGTAATCCTAGCTACTTGGGTGGCAGAGATCAAGAGGATTGCTATTAGAGACAAGCCCAGGCAAAAATTGAAACCCTATCTCAGAAATACCCAAACACCAGCCAGGCGCTAGTGGCTCATGCCTATAATCCTAGTTACTCAGGAGGCAGAGATCAGGAGGATCTCGGTTCAAAGCCAGCCTAGGCAGATAGTTAGTGAGACCCTATCTTGAAAAAAACCCTTCACAAAAAAAGGCTGATGGAGTGGCTCAGGTGGACAGCACCTGCCTAGCAAGCATGAAGCCCTGAGTTCAAACCCTAGTACCACCAAAAATAAAAAAAAGCATGTGGTGTCAGTATATAGGGCTAGTGTGACCCTGTGTGTGCAAGGCAAGGGCAGGAGCAGCTTGGAGGGTGGGCACTGGATGAGAGCAATCAACTGACATGCCTGGCCTCCTGGAGCTAATGGCTGGGGACAGCACTTCTGCTCTGAGCTGTGAACTGCCCCTTGGTCAGGCACGTGGGTGTGCCGTAGGCATGGTTGGAGGACGTCCATTGGTGAGCACGCAAACGTCCTGAGTGTGTGGCTGGTGCTACAGGGCTTCAGATGATGCATGAGGAGGCATGCATATTGGCATGCCTGGTCCCTAATAACTATGTAGACGGATATGGAAAAGGCTGTACAGGGGCCAGACACCAAAGTCAGTCACCCTGTCTGTCCATAGCTGGTATTAGGCTTTTTAAATTAAGACAGAGTCTGTCTGTGTAGCCATGCTAGCCTCAGCCTCCTCGGTGCTGCAGTTCCATTTGTGTAACACCATGCCCAGCACAGAGGTTTCCTGCTTCTCTCTTTCTTTCTTTTTTTTTTTTGTGATACTGAGGTTTGTACTCAGGACCTCAAGCTTGCTAGACAAGCCCCCTCTGCCCTTTTTGCCTTAGTTATTTTTTACATAGGCTCTTGGTCCTTCTATTTACATCTTCCAAACAACTGTCTGTCCTGTTTTCATCCATCAACATTTGCCAGGCCGCCTCTGAACCACTCTTACCCGCTGACTCATGAAAATGCCCGCAGCAGCCTGATGTGCCCACTGTTGGGTTCACCACAGGGCCATAGTTGAGGGAGGGCAAGAATGGACAGGATGGATGTCCTTGCCCATCACTGTCTGGTCTGGGCTGGTCCAGCAGAGGGCAAGGGGTGGAGTTGGAGCCCAAGGCCTTTCCGCACACGAACCCTGGTTCTTCCCTGCCACAGAGGACTACGGGCACTACGAAGAGCTGCCGGGGCAGCCTGGGGAGACTGTCTTCCCCGAGCACCCTCTGGAGCCTGACAGCTTCTCTGAGGGAGGGGCCGCAGGCCGGGCGAAGCCAGGCGCCGGTGTCCCTGACTTCCTGCCCTCAGCCCAGAGGGCTCTGTACCTGAGGATCCAGCAGAAGCAGCAGGAGGAGGAGGAAAGAGCGAGGAGGCTGGCTGAGAGCAGCAAGCAGGACCGGGAGAATGAGGAAGGCATGTGTCCCGGGGCGGGGGAGGGGGCCCTCCCAGGTCTGCAGGGGAGATGTGGCTGCCCAGGGAGGACCCCGTCCAGGGCCTGTAGGCCAGACTCAGCCACCGCATGTCCCTGAGGGAATTGGAGTCATGGCTGCCCAGTGCGTCTTGGGGTTTGGGAGAGTCCTAGTGTATGGGAGAGGGTGGTGGTGGGTCAGGGTGGAGACAGCAGCAACGGATGGACCGACTGCCTGCACCCCTTTCCCTGTAGATGGTGTGAGGGCTTCACTGCTCCTGTCCCCACAGAGCACAGTTCCATGAGCTGCAGGAGAGCAGACTTGATAATCAGTCAGTAGTTGTAGCTGGCAGTCCGCCTCAGGGAGGAAGGGGTCTTAAGCCTAAAACAGACTATGGTGCCTGGTGGAACCCTGGAGCAGGGCAGGGTAGGCGGCCCAGATTTTGCTTGTACCAGGTTCAGCCTGCAGTCCACACCTGCCTTCCCTGGACATGTGATAGCACTGCAGGGGGCCTGAGGACTCCTTGGGCCCTGGAGAGCTGCCAGCAGTGGCTGCTGTCAAGACCTCCAGAGGCAGGTGGCCAGAGCTGGGCCAAACCAGCCTGGGGATGGGGATGAGGTGGCAGAGACCTGGCCTCAGCAGGGTTCCAGCTCAGGTCTTGACCCTATCCTGATGTAATGGCACTGTGCCTCTGTTTTCTCATCTGTCTAATGGGCCCATGGATGAAATGGCCCTGGGTAGTTGGGAAGCTGCCCAGATGGGAGCCTTGCACCATGCTCCCTGCCTCAGCAGCCTGCCATGGAGGCATTGTGAAAGGAGCCGGTGCCCTGCTGAGACTGAGGGCAGAGCAGATGCTTGCTCAGGGACCACGGGCATGGCGTCTGTGGGCTCATGTTAGCTGTGGTAGCCACTTACCTCCCCACTCTCCTGCTCTTTCTCAGGGGACACTGGAAACTGGTACTCAAGTGACGAGGATGAAGGTGGGAGCAGTGTCACCTCCATTCTCAAGACCCTGAGGCAGCAGACATCCAGCAGACCCCAGGCCTCAGTTGGAGAACTGAGCAGCAGTGGGCTGGGAGACCCTCGCCTCCAGAAAGGACACCCTACAGGAGGCCGGCTAGCTGATCCCCGCCTCAGCCGGGATCCCAGACTCTCCCGCCATGCTGAGGCTGCCGGTGGCTTAGGCCCCGGGGACACAGGGCCCTCTGACCCTCGGCTGGCTCGCTCCCTGCCCACCTCCAAGCCTGAGGGCAGCCTGCATTCTAGCCCTGCTGGCCCTGGCAACTCCAAGGGGCCTGCACCGCCTGCTGCAGAGGAGGAGGAAGGGGAGCGGGCCCTGCGGGAGAAGGCCGTGAGCATCCCACTAGACCCCTTGCCTGGGCACCCACTGCGGGACCCACGGTCACAGCTGCAGCAGTTTAGCCACATCAAGAAGGATGTGACCCTGAGCAAGCCAAGCTTTGCCCGCACCGTGCTGTGGAACCCCGAGGACCTGATCCCCCTGCCCATCCCCAAGCAGGATGTGGTGCCCCCCGTGCCTGCTGCCCTGCAGTCCCTTCCTGCCCTGGACCCCAGGTTGCACCGCCCGACCCCTGCGGGACCCCCCAATGCCCGGCAGCGCCCAGGCATCTCCACGGACCCCAGCTCCTCTGGCTCTAACTTGCCTGACTTTGAACTGCTCTCTCGCATTCTCAAGACTGTCAATGTTAATACCCCTGGCCCGAGTGACAAGCCCAGTGACCCTAGGGTACGCAAAGCTCCCACTGACCCCCGACTGCAGAAGCCAGCAGACTCTGCGGCCTCTTCCCGAGTGGCCAAGCCCTGCGCTACCGAAGTCCCGTCTCCAGCCGCCAGCCCCAGCGGGGAGTCATCCCCACCAGCCACTGCACCCTACGATCCCCGTGTGCTGGCAGCCGGTGGGTTGGGCCAGGGCAGTGGGAGTGGGCAGAGCAGTGTGCTGAGCGGTATCAGCCTCTATGACCCGAGGACGCCCAACGCAGGTGGCAAAGCCACAGAGCCAGCTACTGATGCAGGCACCCAGGCCAAGGGCCCCGAGGGCAATGGCAAGAGCTCAGCCTCCAAGGCCAAGGAGCCCCCATTCGTCCGCAAGTCTGCCCTGGAGCAGCCTGAAGCAGGAAAGGCTGGTGCGGATGGGGGTGCAGCCCCAGCCACAGACCGATACAACAGCTACAACCGGCCCCGGCCCAAAGCCGCCGTGGCCTCTGCCGCCACAGTCACCCCACCACCAGAGGGGACCCCACCCCAACCTGGGGTGCACAACCTGCCTGTGCCTACCCTTTTCGGGACCGTGAAGCCGGCACCCAAGACAGGCTCAGGAAGCCCGTTTGCTGGCAACAGCCCAGCCCGTGAAGGGGAGCAGGACGCGGGGTCTCTGAAGGATGTTTTTAAAGGCTTCGACCCCACGGCCTCCCCCTTTTGCCAGTAGTGTTAAGCGGGGCCATGCTGCCCCTGCTCCACCCCTCCATGGCGGTGTTTAAGGGCAGTAACCGGAGCTGGGGTGGGAGTCTGGCTGTTCTTTCTTTTCTCTTTTCTCTTTCCTTTTTTTAAAAGTAGTCCTCTCTGAGACATAAATTGTATATAACCATCTTCCGTTCTGGTCAGTGCTGCGGACTCCCCTGAGCGAGTGGGGCTGTGTCCAGGACCAAGGGCACAGCAAGTGTCTGAGAAGGCCCTGAAGGCCACTCAAACCCCCTGGCTGGGCAAGGACAGATGGAAATGTGTACACAGCAGGTCCAGGCATTTGTAGCAGCCCAGATGTCCTATCCTGTTTCTTCACCATGCAGCCTGTGTCAGCCTGCTTCAGGGGAATGTGACATTGCAAAAGTGTCAAAGGAGAGGACAAGCAGTGGCACAATGCACCATGGCACTCCGTGTCTACTTCTGTCTGGGTTTGCACTCAGGCTCCTGCACCCTCTGTCCAGGGTTCATTCTGAAAGTACTACCCTCCAGCCCACGCAGGAGACTTCGGGAGAGGCGGACCTGAAGGTGGTGGGGCCTGGTGGGCAGCTGCCCCAGAGGGAAGCCCCTTGGAGTGCGCCTTCTGTCAGTATTATCCGTCCTGCTCCTCAGAAGTCACAGCACTGCCGGCCCCTGTCCCCTGGAGACAGCTCAAGGATCCGTGGCGTGCCGCCCGCCAACCTCCCATTCAGGGAGCCCTGGGGCGGCTCTGGAAAAGTATTTCTGCTCCCCGCTTTCTCCGTTCCCCTCTGCTGTATTATCTGGAAGGCCAAGGTATTGTTTGTTTGCTGTTCCTTTCCTAAGCTGACAGGTACAGGGGCTCAGAGGCCTGGCACAGCATTGGATTTGTGGACACCTGAAAGAGGGGCCTGAGGAAAGGGCAGGAGTCTGGCTGGGGTGGGGAGGGGTATGCTCGACCCTTCCAGGAGTGGTACGGGACCCCATTGAGCGGGGGACCCTGCCTGAGGCCTGCCCATCCGAGACCTCTTCATCACTCCCTAGGTCCCAGGAAGTCTGCTTACCTGTGGGTCCACCCCTTGTTCTTGTCCTACCGCCTCGATGCCTTGCCTTAGGCCCATCTCTCTTCCTTGCTAATAATGAGACCTGGTCACCCAGCCAAAGGATTCCCCTCCCATCTCCTGAGGGTGGGCCATGAGTGAGGCTCCCCCACCACCCCAAAGAGAAAACCTAATGAATTCGGGGCGTGAAGCCAGGGTGGGACCCTCAGCCCAATGGGATTGGTTTGGTTCGTCTTTTTTGTCTGGTTTTGTTTTGTTTTTTAAGCAATCATTAATGAGATTTGTCGGTCACCAGTGTTGGCCATGAAGCAGAGGCCTGTGGCCCACGGTGTGTAGGGTAAGTGAGAATACTCGTGTGGCAGTGTTCTGTTTTTTTTTTTTTTTTTTTTTTCTCCTTTGAAATTTTTTTTTTTGTAAAAGAAAAATTAAATGCTTTTTTAAAACCGAAATCTGTGGATGAACTAGAAGCCGGGCCCTCCTCGGAACCTTCAGCCTCAGAGCCTCATGGAACGAGGACTTCCCTTGGAATCCCACTTGCCATCAGGCTGTGCTTTTAAAGAAAAACTGTTCTCCAACCAAGATTGTAACAAAAGTGTAAATACTATTTCAGAGTCGAAAGTTGACGGTGCAAATATGTAAATAACGTACTGTATTTTTACAATGACTGTCGCATGACCATCCCAGCCCTTTTGTACTCCATATCTGTCTTCCAGAAACCTCACCTGCCTTTTCTCCTGTGGTCTCTTAATCCAATAATTGTATTACTGCCATTAAAGGATGCAGTTATTTTAAAAAGCCTGCAGGTCTCGTCTCTCTGCTGCTCAGACCTTCCCTGGCCGGGGCAGCAGCTAGGAGGGTGGTAAAGAGCCCAAGTGAAACCCTGAGAACTGTCTGGCTTTTTTGTTCCTGTTGTGATGTCGCAGTGCTGGCAACTGAACCCAGGCCGCCGGCAAGCCAAGCAAGCGCTCTGCCACGGTGCTCCATACCCACCTCTAAACAGTCTTACTTTGGGAGGAATAATGGGGCATTTGAGACAGAGGCTTTGTCGTGAACCAAGGCTGGCCTATAACTCCTACCTCAGCCCCCTCAGTCCTGGGATTACAACCCAGCTTGAGAAGTCTTTTTTTAAATACATGCAGTTCTTTTCCTTTTCTTTGTTTCTCTTTTTTTTTTCTCAAAGCAGTTTCTGCACCTAGCTTTTAAAATCAAATGGTACAGAAGAGCTTATGATGCAAAGCTGAAATTCCTGCCCTATGGCGTGGGCCTGCTTCAGGCACCATAACAAAGCACCCCGGGCAGGAGGACTTAAACACCAGATATTATTTCCCAAACTTGTAACCGTGGGAAGTTCAAGATCAAGGAACCACAGTAGACTCAGTTCCTGGTGAGGGTTCCCTTGGCTTCAGACACTGTTCTCACTTGGAAAGATAGAGGTGGGGACAAAGCACTCTCTGGTCTCTTTGTGTGGGTACTGGGAACAGGGCCTCCAGTTTGCTAAACCAGGGCTCCACCACTTGAGCCACGTCCCCAGACCTTTTTGCTTTGGTTTTTTTTGAGGTAAGGTCATGTGTTTAGTCTCAGATCGATCTGGACTGCAATCCTACTTAGGCTTCCTGCTTAATTGGCCCACAGCTTCTTACTGGTTGAGGTGGAGTCTCGAACTTTCCACCAGGTTGCATCCTCCCAATTACCACCCAGGTAGTTAGGATTATAGGCAGTGAGCCACCAAACCTGTCTCAGAAACTCATTCTGAGCTGAAGGAGTGGCTTAAATGGTAGAGCACCTACTTAGCAAGTGTGAGATCCTGAGTTCAAAGCCCAGTACCACCAAAAATGCCCCAAAAAACCAATTTGTATCATATCATGAGTATTAGAGTAGCACAAGCCAACACATTGCATGGCATTAGCTCTGTGCTGTGAGCCTTGCACAGAGTCACAGTCCCCCATGACGGAGAACTGGCCATGCTTCCCATTTTGCGGATGAGGACATTGAGGCACAGAGAGACCACATAGCTCCTTGTAGACACTGGGTGTCAAAGTGGCTCTCCAAATACAGATGGTCTACCTCCCGAACCATCTTTTTTTTTTTTTTTTTTTCATTTTTCTTTTATTATTCATATGTGCATACAAGGCTTGGTTCATTTCTCCCCCCTGCCCCCACCCCCTCCCTTACCACCCACTCCGCCCCTCCCTCTCCCCCCCCTCAATACCCAGCAGAAACTATTTTGCCCTTATCTCTAATTTTGTTGTAGAGAGAGTATAAGCAATAATAGGAAGGAACAAGGGGTTTTGCTGGTTGAGATAAGGATAGCTATACAGGGAGTTGACTCACATTGATTTCCTGTGCGTGGGTGTTACCTTCTAGGTTAATTCTTTTTGATCTAACCTTTTCTCCAGTTCCTGGTCCCCTTTTCCTATTGGCCTCAGTTGCTTTAAGGTATCTGCTTTAGTTTCTCTGCGTTAACCTCCCGAACCATCTTACTGGGGCAGAGGATCAGCTTACCAGGGGCAGCATGCCTTCTCCCAATGCTGGTCAAGAAAGGGTCCTCCTTTCCCTCTGAACTCAGTCGTCAGATCAGGAAAACAGAAACCACTCCAGGTATTTATCCCAGAGGGAACTGGACACCAAAGAGACCAGAAGGTTTGGAGATGCAAAAGAGGAATGACAAGGTTACCAGAGATTAACAGCTGTAGGAATCTGCTAGAATCTCCAGGGAAGGGGAACCAGAGGGACATGGTGTCACCCAGAGATACTGAAGCCATTGAAGTAGAAAGCCAGGCTGTCCAGGTAGGACCTCAGGAGCCTGTGTCGGCAGGTGCCCTTTGAGAAGCCACACAAACCGAGGGGAGAAACAGCCCTGCCATTCCTAAAATGGAATGGGCAACCAGTTGGCAGAGGAGACTGAGAAACAGTTTCCGGGCTTCTGGCTCCAGTCGCGGAGAGGAAGGCTGGGAGGCAGTGGGCTGTGGCCCTCAGAAATAGAGGCCAGGCTGCTGACTTCTTTGAGAGGCTTTTTTTTTTTTCTGTACTGGGGTTTAAACTCAGGGCCTACACCTTGAGCCACGCCACCAGACCCTTTTTGAGAGAGGGTCCCATGAACTATTTGCCCTGGCTAGCTTCAAACTGTGATCCTCCCGATCCCTCCACCTGAGTAGCCAAGATTACAGGCGTGAACCACCGGTGCCCAGCATACTTGACTCCTCTGATCCCCCAGGAGGACTGAGGAGGGTCGGGAAGGAGGCTACTGTGGCCTCAGCCTAGAGAAAAGGCGAAATGTGGAACTGCTCAGAGCAATGGTTTCTCTTTGAGTGATGAAAACGTTCTGGAATTACTGATGATAGTTGCACAACCTTTTCATTTATTTTTGGTTGTTTTGGTGTTTTGAGACAGGGTCTCGCTATGTAGCTCAGGCTGGCCTCAAACTCATGCTGTTCCTTCCTCTGCCTCCTGAGTGCTGGGATTACAAGTACGCACCTCCAGGTCTAGCCTCGTCAGCTCTTGATAAAAACTTGTTATAAAGGAATACTGAGGCCTGCCTCTACCCAGCCCTTTGCCACCTGCCACATTATTCTGGAACAACGCTATATGTTTTTTAAATTCTCTTGGGCTGAAGGAGTGGCTCAAGTGGTAGAGCAGCTGCCTAGCAAGGGCATGGTCCTGAGTTCAAGCCCCAGTACTGCCAAAAAAGAAAAGTTCCCAGAGGTTCTAATTCTTTTAGAATCATTGATCTAATGACCAGTGTGGATGCAGCTGGCCATGTTAAGATCTTAAGACCTAGCCGGGCACTGGTGGCTCACGCCTGTAATCTTAGCTACTTGGGAGGCTGACATTGGGAGAATCGAGGTTCAAGGCCAGTCTGGGCAAATTATTCTCTTAGTTCTAAATGCAAAATAACAAGAGCAAGCCGGGCGCTGGTGGCTCACGCTTCTAATCCCAGCTATTCAGGAGG